TGCCGATCTCAAACAAAGGCTGCAACCTGCGCCTGGCCATGCAACTCCTCCACGGAGTCCTGGAGGCCCAGCTCTCCTGGCTGGTGGTCCCAGGAAGAATCATCGAGCAAGCAAATGCAGGAGGTTGATTCTCACAGAGCCCCAGCCCCACCCATAGCCCGCCTGAGGGGAAGCCAGCTCACATGGGGCAGGCCTGAGGAAGGAGGCAGCGTGGAGGGGCTTGGGTTCGGGGCAGGAGGAAGTATGAGGACAAAGCACCTTACTGGACAGCTGGTTCCTCCACCTACCCGATGGAGCCAGGACAAGGTGAGATTGGCAATGGACCCAGCTACAGCAGAGATGCTCCTCTTGTGCCTGGGTCTCCAAGCCCAGGCTGCAATGTGGGGAGGGGATGTAAGTCCATGGTCCTCAGCCTAAGGACGGGCGCGGTCCTGTCACAGTCTTAGAGATGTGGCTGTAATTTGCAGGCATGGGAACCCACAGTGGGGGCTGAATGGGTGGCCACTGAAATGACACTCAGGGCCAACAGGAATGGCTCACGCAGCGCTGCATGTCCTTCATGCTACGTGCAGGCTGGCTCAGGCATATTCCAGGAACACAGGGGCCCCACAGGTCCTCAGAGCCCAGAGCAGTGTCCCCTCCCTTGGGAAGCTGCTTTGATACCAGTCTTAGCCAGGGGCCCTGCAGTAAGACCTCGTGGCTTCGTGTACCACTGCACACAGCACAAATGTGGCTCACAGTACATAAAAGTGGGAGGTTGTATAATGTCACTGTTCTCATGGTGACAAACTGAATGCACCCCCACTTCACAGGCAGAGGTATCAACCTCAGGACCTCAGAATATGGCTGTGGTCTTGAAAGAGGGGGTGTTAACACGAGGCCACTAAGACGGATCCTAATCCCTGTTAGAACAGATGAGGAGGATACAGGCACACACCGAAAGAGACCACGTGCAGACACAGGGAGAATGTGGCACCTACAAGCCAGGGAGGGAGGCTTCTGTCTAAACCAGCCCTTCCAGTCCCTGTGAACTCGGACTGCCAGCCTCTGGCCTGGAGCTGGGATGCCTGCTGTGGGGCCCCAGCCCGAGCAGAGAGGGAGCAGGGGCTCTGGGGGCACAAAGCACTGTGGACACACAGTCCGCAGTGAATTCCCAGAGCTGGGTGCCCAAAAGCTAGTGCTGAGTCTGACACCGGGACAAAGGCCTGAACGTGGAGGAGCAGGTACGTGGTACGGGAAGGCTGGCAAAGGAAGACGGTCAGTGATGCCAGGCCTGCTGGGTGAGAAAAGACCAGCAGGTGACTCCAAGTGCCACAGCCCTCCTGAATGACCTGGACAGTCAAGGCTCTGTAGCCCTGGTCTGGCTTCTTGCCCCCATGCTGTGAGGGGCACAGAGTGGTGCCTGTGGGTAGCCAGCATAGGCTCTGTGCCATCTCCGGCTCCATGCCAGTGTCCAGCAGGAATTCTGACATGGCGGGGCCTCTGTGAGCAGCACCAAAATCCTTGTGGAAGGGTAAGGGATGCCACCTGTCCTGGAACACAGGGTGACAGAGTGTGCCTGCTGTCTCCGCACACAGTGCAGGATCCCACTGGAACCTGAGTCCTGGGGATGGGTGGGAAACTCACAGGGAAAAGCCAGCTGGCAGGGCGGGAGCAGCCTCAAGAGAGGGGCTCTGCATCCACTGCAGACTCCCTGGGGACGAGGGCCAGACTGAGACGCCACTGACCGTGCCACCGTGATCAAGGAGCCTCTGTCCCCTCTCTGCGGAGTGGGGCAGTGCCACATGAGGCTGTGGAGAGTTGGGTAAAGTGGTGGCGATGGCAGTGGTAGTGGCCAGGGCTTGGGAGCAACCCTGCCTGTCTGGTTTCTCAGAATGGTCAGCAGTGAGTGCTCCGGGTTGGAACTTGAGTTCTGACACTTACCAGGCAGGTTGCGCTGTGCATCCTGAGCCCCAGCTCCTGCCCTGTAAAGGATGGCCTGGTGCTGAGGCCTATGGAGACAGCACAGGGGTAGGGGACAGCTACCTTCAGAGGCTCACTGGACTCCTCATCTTGAGGGCTGACGAGTAGTAAACCAAAGAGCCCATGGGTCCTTGCTTCTGTGTATGATTCTACAATTCTCTTTCATTTGTGTCCCATCTGCCTAAAAGCCCATGAAGTTGTGGTCAACAATAATTAAAAGGTTATTAAAGATCTCCCAGAGCAGATCACCCTGTGAAAATCGGCAGGACCTACAACCTCTGGCTACCTCCCAAAAAGACCAAGCTCCTGACTCACAAGGAAGACACTTGGCTCCTAGTGTGAGGGTGGCACCCATGGGCAGGATGGGCATGGCTTTGACCCTTGGTGGGCACTGTGGCTCTGGCCTCATCCAGAGAGTGCTCAAAGCTCTGTGCCTTGGCAGCTGAGTGGTCACTTGATGCGGAGAGTGTGTGCAGCAGGATGTGGGAATCCATGGCTTAATACCAGGATGGGATCCATCCTCCCTGTGCTGAAGTGGGGGCACCCAGGGCAGCTTCCCTAGAGCGGCTGGCAAGGAAGGCCCCTGTGGAGGGTGCCCACCATGCACTTGGCTGTTGGCAGAGCTGGCGCAGGCCACAGAGGAGAAAGTTCCACACACATTTGCCTCTTCTCCTAAAGCAAACTCAGAGCTGTAAGGGGTCAGGAAAAAGTCCCCTCCTTTCTCCAGTGGGAAGTCCCCAAGAAGGGTATCGACCCTTTGCCACATGGGGACAAGAGCGAGGCACGACCTACTGCCCTAACCCACGGCTCCCAGGATACAGCCACACAGGTAGGGGCCTTGTTTGTGCCCAGCAATTCCCTCTGGCCACTCCCTCTCCAGCAAAGCCACCGTGGGGTCCTGACAGCACAAGGACTCTGAAGGGAGCAGTTCCAGGAGAGCAAGCTTCCTAGCCCTTCCTCCAGCCTCTAACTGTTTCATTCAGATAGTTCTTGTTTTGATCACAGGTGAGACAGAGGGACCCAGTGCCCACATCCCCACATAGTAGAAGTCAAAGTGCTGTCTGTCACCTGGCTCTGCAACCCCTGCAGGCATCTGTCTTGCAACCCCAGGGACAGGGTGCCGCAAGGGTGCCCCGAGGGCCCTATCTTGCCCAGCCCAGCTTGCTCTGCAGAGTACAGCCCTGCTCCCCACTCTGAGGAGCCTCGAGTATGGGATGTGGCTTCCCTATCTCCTGCCACGCCCTCTCCTCCCTGGCACAGGGTGGCTCTGGCTTGCTGAAGATGCTTTCACAATGAAGGCGCCTCAAAAAGGTTAAAGGGAGGCACCAGCAAGAGGGCCCAGGGAGGGATGGAAGGTGGAGGGTGGGATGAAGGAATCTGACCAGTGATGTTTAACAAGAACACCACAAACAGGAAGCAGACAACTAAGAAGGCAGCTGACCTACAGAGGAATGTGAACTCTAGTGCACAAGCTGCCGCATCCCTCTCTCCTCAGCCCGCCCAGCCTGGGAGCGTACCCAGGCTGCCTCCTCCTGCCTCCTCCCAGGATACCAACCCCGAGAGTGCCCTGGCCAGAGGGAGGGGAGCTGAGTGGAGACCAGCACGGTCCTAGACCACCCAGAAGGATGCAGAGGGGTCCCCTCCCCTTGCCTGGGACAGTGCTTCTGGGGAAGGGTGAGCATGCTATGCGCACCCTGCCCATTGGGCACTGCCCCTCTGGGTGCCTGGCTCCACTGAGACACCCCACAGGACCACCTTCACTGAAGCACACCCCAGCCTGGCAGAGTGGTTTAGAAGGTCTGGAAGCTGGCCCGGCTCATTCCACTCCCTGTTCTCTGGAGCCCAGAGAGAGGCCCCAGGTCTGGGCACAGTGCACACCCAAAATGAGGGGACCAACAAGATTCTGGGGTGGCTGAAGGAAGCACTGTAGAGACGGAGGGGTAGTGGGAGGGTGGACAGGGTTTGGAAGACAGAGGATCTCCTAGCAGTTTTGTGTTGTCTCCCGGCTCTGCCCCAGCTTGATGGAGGCCTGGGGGTGCAGTCAGACAAGGACAGTCCAGTGCCATGGAGAAGCAGGCCCTGGTGGCCTCACGGCCCAGCCTCTCTGGGAGAGGGCAGTGTCATCTATGGCCTCGGGGCTTGGAGAAGGCTCCAGAGAGGTCACAGCCCCCTCACTTTTGCAGAGGAGACATGGAGCCCTGCCTCCCGGCTGGGCTGGCCCAGCGCCGTCTTTAGGGAGATTCTCTGTGGGTGCCACCTTGCTGTGCGGACGGAGCCCCCTTGCCGCTGCCCCTTTCTTTTGTGACCAGCCTGGAGCGATGACGTATAGGACAGGAATGGTCTGGGTAACATCGAGGGGAGGCTGCCAGGGGATCACGGGGAAATTCTTCAACTCAGCTGTGTTGGGAACTTTTTGTAAGACAATGTTGGGGAATAAAAGATCAAGGATCCCAGTGTGTGGATGTGAGTGTTCCCTCTGTCTCTCCCACACTCCCGTCCTGTGTACGCACGCACTGCACATATATGCACACACACGTGGTGTGCTCACTGTCCGTCCTTCCCACCACCTCAAGGCCTGGCACTTGGCAGACCCTCTATAAAATGAAAGTGAAACCAATGCCTGGGTGCCCAGGGACCAGCGCAGGAAGAAGCCCAGGACTCTGCCCCCTTGGCCCAGGGGCACCCAAGGCCAGCTCCACCTGGAGGGAGGTCCTCTCACTGCTGAGCATCCCTCCCTCCTGCAGGGCATGGCTGCATGCACCAGGCTGTATCAACTCTGTGCTGTGGTATCACCACTGTATCCCCACTCACAAGGACCTGGGCCGCGTCCATGGTCATGCCCAGGAGAGGGAGCAGGGGCTCAGACTCTGACCTTGACCCTGCTCAGGCCAGATCCTGACCCTGTGTCTGGACTCCCAGAATACATGCTGCAAAAGCAGGATCAGCAAACTGAGCCAAGCAGCACGTCCTGGAACCATCTCTGCCACTCTCCTATGCCCTGCATGGTGCCCTGGAGCTGGAGCAGATGGTGCACTTACCGGGGATATGGACCTTGAACTTGCCGCTCTGGCCAAAGGCGCTATCGATGACCCCCAGCTCCCCTGTGGACAGGTGAACTTTGAGCCCCACGAAGAGCTGGATATTGGTCTCCTTCTTGAACAGAGAGCGGCCGATCACGCTGTAGTCATCCATTGCCTGTGGACAATGGCAGGCATGGAGCGAGGAGGGAGGCGTTAGTGTTTGCATCTCCTGTGGGCCCCACACCTCTGCTGTCTTGCTGTTTCTCATCTCTTTGTAGGTGCCTAGGCTGGGAGGGGACGCTACGCTCATGTGTGAAAATATGGCAGGGCCCAGCCGGACCCTGCATCAGCTGTGCTCATCTGGAAGTTTCTCCTAGGCCTCTTCTCCCCTGCTGGGCCACCTCCTGTTTTCACCAACCCTGCTCTGGCAAACTCGGGCTGTGATGATGAGCGGCCTCCCACTGGGGACTGCATGGAGATCACAAGCACACAGCCCCCGCCCCGTCCACTTGCCCTCCCATGGGAAACCATGCACGCAAAGGAGCGAGTGGCATATGGCCTCAGGGACCACGCCAGGACTACAGAGGACAGGCACAGCGGCCCTGGGCATCATGTTCTGTGTAAGACAGCAGTGCGAAAGCAAGGGAGGGCACACTGCCAAGCCGTACGACAAGGACAGGAGGATGCAGAGAAGGGATGGGGAGTATCCTTCCTCAGGCCTGGGGACTTTCACGTACACCCTCTCCACTGTTGACCTTTGAAATGCGTGCGTGGATGAAGGATCTACCAGGTAACCCTTCTGTGCTCTCTGGGGAGAGGACCGACTCCTTCAGTCACTTCTGGCCCACGAGGGTATCTGCAGCACCACTCCAAGCAGGCAGGCTTTCTGGTCATGCACTGGGTTGCTCCAGAGAGCTGCCCCCTGCACTCCCAGCCTACAACTTCTCTTCCGGCTGCTATATCCCACAAACCAGGGCCTCTGCACCTCCCAGCTACCCCAGCCCGTGATACTTGCTCAGCTGTTGCGACCCCCCAGGGCAGGAGCTGGGGCTGGCTTGTCTTCATTCATCCTACCTCAAAACATTCACTGGGCTCCAGAGCAACCAGCAAGAAGAGGATGGTTACGGCACCATCCCTGGAGCCAGACTCTGCCTTTAAACCTAGTAGCTGTGTAACCGGGGCGAGTTGGCTAACTTTTCTGTCCCTCAGTTTCTCCAGTAGAAGTGTGCAGATTAAAATAAAGCCAAACACTTGGAGTGGGGTCTGGCAGTCAGTGGAGCACGAGCAGTAGGAGGGTGAGCCAGTCAGAAGTGGCTGCTGTGTCCTGACACAGTCACAAGGCTTCCCAAAGAGCATAAGGAAGCTGACCCAGAGATGGCATGAGCAGAGGACAGGGTGCTCCAGGCTCCGAGCAAGCCCCAAAGCAGTGGGGACTAAAGGGCACAGGGTCCAAGACTGGGAGAGCTACACAGGTGACCATGCAGGCCCGAGCCTCCTACAGGAGGTGATGTGGCTTGTGGCATGGGGTGGTTCTGGCTCCTCTGGAGAAGGTGTCAGTGGGGACAGTAGAGACAAGTCAGAGATGGGGCCCAGGGCTGGAGAGGGGGATGGGTTCAGGTGACCATGAGCAGGACGGCCCTCAGAACGAAGGGACCCTGATAGTAGCTGCCGTCTGCCCCTTGGGTTTCTGGATGGCTCAACACCTAGGGGGGTCCACAGGGTGACCCAGAGTCTCAAGGGTGGACAGCTGCTCATTCTGGCCCTGGGAGAGCTACATCATCAGGAGGGCCCCCAGGGACATCCAGGAAGAACTATGCTTGAGGGGTGGGCAGACTCCGGCCAGAAGGAGTCTGGCAGAAAGGGTAACGGGGTCCAGGTTGTGTTCCTGTGAGCCACATCCACAGGGCCACCACTGGGCCACAATGGGCAGGCTTCTCATGGCCCTGGGTGGCACATCCCCCACTCTGGACACCTGCATCATCTTCCTGGTCTTGACGTCCATATGTATGGCCTACACCTACTGTGCTTGAACTTTAGAAACTCACATACATTTCTCGTGGAAAGAAAATCTCAATACTAAAAGCAGCTAGCAACTACCCGCCCAAAAGCCAGTAACCAGAAGTACAGCCAAACAGACCTTGCATAGAGGCCTTCAACCATGCTGATCCCTGCTGTTCTCACCAACAGTGCCCTGTGCATGCCAGAGTCAGGAGACAGCTAGGGAGTTGCCCAGCAGGCAGGGCCACACCTGCACATGATGTCCACTGTGTGTGTCTGGCTCTGTCAGAGGGGCTGCCAGCTTCTGCCCAGCTGACCAGGGGGAAGAAGGCACAATTGCACCCAAGGGCATGAGAGTTCTGTGCATCCCAGGCCAGCCCTTATGAGTAACAACAGCACACTGGGCAGAAGAGGCAGCTGGTGGCCTCCCTCTGTCCCCTCCCAAGGCGAAGAACTCTGGCACCCACAGGCTGGGTTCTTCTCAGCCCTGGAAGCATCTTGTTTCTACTCAGGCTTGGCCACAGGCCCCAGATGGATTGTTTTGAAAAGCAGAAACTGTCTCGTTTACCCTAAAAACCTTTTGGAAAAACATATCCTATTCTATTTGATTCATAGCAGCAGATAAAAGGTACTCGCATTCCTCCTCTCCCCGGTGATTGATGAATAGGATACAAATAATGATAAGAATAATAATTTCCACTCGCACAGCCCTTTATAATTCACAGGACTTGCTCCCACACAGGGTCTCCTTGTCCTTCAGGACTCAGCTCCGGGAGCTCTCCCAGGGCCACCTCTGTCCCAGCGGCTGGGTCTGTGTGGGCCTCCAGGAAGGACACAGAGAGATGGTGCAGGCCAGGCCTTGCCACTCTGCCTGGCTTTGCTCGTCTCTGCCCAGGGCTCCTGCCAGCTCACTCTCTGCAGCCAGTCTGGGAGCTGAGCAGAGCTGGCCTGATGGCTCCAGGGCAGCTCTCTCCTGTCCCTACCCAGCCTCTGTTCCATGGGCCACCTGCAGCAGGGAAAAGAGTCCACCCTGAGACTCATATGTCACCCTGTGGAGCCCCCTGGGTGTTGAGCAACCCTCCATCCCCTCACCTGCAGAGGCATCATCCCTTTTGCAGAGACTGCAGCTGAGGCCGGGACAATGTCTGAGTGGGCCATGTCACGTGAGGGCAGCAGTATGGCAGAAGCACAAGCCCACACCCATCAGGCCCAAGACCAGTGAGGAGCAACTGTGGTGGGCTTACCTGGGCTGCAGCTGCAGTGACAGCCAGGATGCCAGGGACGCGGAGGAGGGGCCCCAGGCCCTTTCTCAGCCCTGGGGACAGATGTGACTGAGACACAGGAGAAGCAGGAGCCCAGCTCCCACTTAGAGAATCACCCTCTGAATGGCACTGCCAGGACTGGGCCAGGGTTCTCAGCTGGCCATCCTCACGATCTTGCTGTTCCCACCAGCACTGTAGACACTGCCATGACCTGGAGTGTGCTGTGAACTGGCCTGTGGACCTCCCAGTACAGGCAGCAGTCAGCACCTACCTCTCTTGGTCTGGACCTTAATGTCCCCAAGGTCTCTGGTCTTCAGAGGTGGGGCTTCTGAGGGGTGCCTGGATCCCAAGCCAGCCTCACAGGCACATCAACCCCTGCTCGAGCTCACAGTCCGAGAAGAAACCTGGGAGCCGGCTGGGCAGAGGACGTCACGGGTCCCTCTTTCCTCTGGCTCTTCTGGTCTCCCTGCTGTAAGCAGCTGCCCTCTAACACAGTTCTTGGAGCCTTCTGACTAAGGACTACAGCCCAATATCATGAGCCAGATACATTGTGTACGACAAGTGTGCTGTCCCAGTGACAAGAAGCTGACTGAGGACAGACACTGACAGCTGCTGTCGCTTGATAAACTGAGCACAGGGCCAGAACTGGGCCTTGGCCTGGTAACCCTGTGGCCACAGCCTGCCCTCCCTGTATTCTACCTTGCTCCTGTCTGACCACCTGCCTGTCCTCAGATGAACACCTGGCCAGTGTCACATCCTCACGTGTTCTTCTGTTCATGGCTTCCCAGAGGCACGGGCTACAGTGGGGCAGGCTGTGCCTTCTCCGCCACTTCCTCCTTTGCAGTCTCCCCTGCCCACAAAACTGGTGCCAACTGTCCCCATGAGGGCCTTTGCGATGCTCACTGAGTGGGTGGCTTGGCCCTGGCCCTTTGCATTGAGTACCGTGTTGGTGGCCTTGTGTGTTTATTAGCAACCTCAGACACACAACACACAACAGCAGGCGCAGTCCAGAAATAAATAGTATGACAAATTTGGACTGGTGATATATCCGAGAAACCTTCCCAGGCCAGCTAGCAAGCGTGCCCATCACCCTGACTCCTCCCGCCCTCCCCGCCCATGGTCTGTTCTCCTTGTCCCCCAGGGGACTGCCTGACCCACCTAGTCTCTGCTATACACGCTCCCTTCAGATAGCCTCCGCCACACCCCAGGACTGAGGCTGAGCCCTCCTGGCCTGAGCCAGTGGCCCTGCCTTACCCCTGTCAGCTGGTCTATCCGTCCCCTCCCTGGACCTGGCATCAAGAAAAGGGCTGTCCCCAGGCCTGGCCTCACACAGCCCTGCCCCACACGAGTCTTGCTGAGTAAGCACTCAGTGAGGGGCAACGGGGTGGTCCCAAAGGGGAGGGGAGAGGGGAAGAAGAGGACCTCTTGGCTCTTCGGGGTAACCTTTCTTGCTCACTGCTGTGAAGGTGTCTAGGGCACAGGACACATCTGAGAGACAGCCAACCACCAGGCCTTGGAAGCACACACCACAGACTGCGCCCATGGGTGGCCAGGACCCGCCAGCCTCAAAGCCTGGGTCTCAGGCAGGCTACCTGTGCCTCAAAGTAGCCCTCAGAGCACCCTGCCTGCATCTTCCTTGCCCTTCCTTTCTTTAGTTTACAAAATATTAACTTAAAAAAGCCAAATGCAGACAGCAGAGGTCCATCTTTCCCTAAGCCTGGTCTCACGAGGGCAGACTAATTTTATTAACTCCAGGGAACTTCAAAAAGCTTCAGAACTTTCATGTCAGACAGAGATGACCCCGGAGTTAGTTTTAGTGCTACGTAAACAAAGGATGAGGCAGGAAGTCAGGGCTTCTGTGCTTGTTTACATTCTCCTGTGGCTTTGTGGGGCAGCGTGCGGGCACCAGGCCCTG